AAAGAAAGGGCGCATGAAAGAGCGGGAGAGATATGCAGGAAAGGACAGGCTGGATTTGAACCCGGGTCGCCCAAGTCGTGGACTAAGGCGTCTGCACATGGGTCGTGTGCGCTAGCCACTGTGCCACCAAAGCCCCAGACATTGCTTTTTATTTATTTATTTTTCAATTATTTTGAAAAATAAACTCATGAAACAGGTCTAGAAAAGACTGGAAATAATGTGACAAAAGCTGCAAATTAAATCAAGTTGTGTCCATTGGTTAGTGTCAAAGGTCTGTACAATCTTTTAATCAGTCAGGGGGCCTATATTTAGGGCTACAGGTAGTTACTGTGATGTTTGGTGACATGATGTGTACCACACTCAACATGGACCAGAGGAAGCAAAGGAGAGTTGTCTCAGGGTTTCAGAAAGAAAATTAAAGACAAGCACGTTAAGGTAAATTATATTAGAACATCTCCAAGCAGCCTGATGTTCATGTGACTATAGTCTGCAGATATTATTCAAACAATTATGATCCATCGGGCTGTACCCAACTTCCCTAGATATGGGCGATGGAGGAAAATTTATGATAAATTAAAGAGAGATGGGTAATACAGATGGTAACAAAGGAGCCCAGAAAAACTTCTGAAGAGATCAAAGACGAACTTCAAGTTCAAAGATCAATGATCATCACAGTTAGATCACAACATCCGTCATCATCTGCGCCAAAGTAGACTTAATGGGGGACGACCAAGGAGGACACCATTTTTGAAAACAAATCCTATAAAAGCAAAAGTGGAATTTGCTCAACTACATGTTGACAAGCAACAAAGCTCATTTGCCTATTGGAGAATGTCCAATAGGCAGATGAGACAAAAATTGAACTTTTTGTCAAGGCACATCACTTCTATGTTTAGAGATGGAAAAATGAAGCATATCAACTAGAGCAGGCATCCCCAACCTCGGTCCTCAAGGCCCCCTGTCCTGCAGGTTTTAGAGGTTTCCTTGCTCCAGCACAGCTGATTTTAATTGAAAGCTGATTAACAGGCTTTTGGTCTACTGCAATGATTATAATCAGCTGTGCTAAAACAGGGAAACCTCTAAAAATTGCAGGACAGCGGGCCTTGAGGACCAGGGTTGGGGATGCCTGAACTAGAGAACTCTGTCCCTACTGTGAAACATGAAGGAGGTTTGTTATGTCCTGTCGCTGCTTTGCGTCATCTGGCACAGGGTGCCTTAAATCTCATCAGAGTAGAATAAAACCTCATGACTATCAAGGGAAAAGGAGAAATGTGCTACCCAGTGTCAGAAAGCTTGGTCTCAGTCACAGATGGGTCTTGCAACAGGATAATGACCAATACACACAGCTAAAAACAGCCAAGAATAGCTAAGAGGAAAACATTGCAATGTTCTGAAGTGTACGTCTATAACCTAAATCTATAACCTGACCTAAATCCTATTGAACATATTTGGAAGGACCTGAAACACCGGAGCCATTAGTTCATGAGGAGTGGGCCAAAATACCTGCTGAGAGGAGCAAAATTTGACCAACAAAATATTAAGTTAAGGGCATCATATGTTGAATCGGTTTATTTCTTTTACTCGTTCTGTTGAAGCGTGGTTGCTAAGTAATGTCTGACTTTCATTTGTTTATCTTTTTAGAATTTATATTTATTATTGCTTTTATCAGATTCAAGTTACTCCTGTGGGTTTTTCTTTTATTAAACAAGCGACACCAACAATTCTGTCAGATATAGTAGTTTGGTGAAAAGCCGCCGCTTACCTTATCATCAATTATCACCAGGTCCTTTGGTTCTGTGCGGTCAATCTTAAGGACTCTGTGTTTGGTCTGTGCATGGTTGCAGCCAACTAAAAAATATCTCTGGGGAAAACAAAACAACTGTTATGAGAGGCCTGTTCTAAGAGTATAGCGGTATATTGAAGACCAACAGTATACAACAATAAAAATTAGACATGACATCTGCCTTCAATTACACATTACATGAAAGTGATCAGACCTGCCTAATTATTGTCTGTCAGGGTTTTGATAACAGAGCAACACCATAATATGGTTTGTATCAGAACTTCAGTTCCATGTCTCCTCTTGTCATGTTATCATCTTTGTCATCATACTCAGTGGTAAAATGGCTGAAGATTCAAAGCCTAGTAAGAAGCTTCAAAATTAGGACATCATGTATTCGTATGGGCTGCTACTATTAGAGTCATTCTGTCCTGTTCCACTGTTCCCAGTACCCTACAGAGCCATCTTTTTTAAACATAATGATAACTAACTCTACTCTTGGGTTCAATTATAAGAGCATGACACTAAGATAAGAGTCAGGGAAGATAACTTATAGTGGAAACATTTATCTGCTTTATAAATCCAGTAGAACAAGTTGGAAATATAACAAGTCATCATAATTTCTTCTAAGAAAAAACAAAATTACCTAAACCTAACAAAAAAAAAGAAATGTTGGTCAACTTTAAAAGCTGTGACAGTCAAAGTATACTTAAAAGGATCAAATCTGATATTCAAGAGAGAAATGACCCAAAATAAACGTATACTGCCATCTAGTGTTTACTAAGTAAACACTAGTGTAATCACAAGCCCCTTCTCCTTCTTAGGTTCCTAAACATTTTTTTTATAACAAAATCTGATCCTTCTTCAAAATCTAAATTCCGCTTTTCATGTCTTTTTAAACTTAAATGCAAAACTTTATGATAAGGTCTAATTTTCCTATAGATCAGACTTTAAATGTGGAAACTGCAAAAAAAAAGTGGAAAAAGGATGGAGAGTTGGTTGACCAAGATGGATTAACCTAGAAAATACAAATTAAGTTTAGATTTTTCCAAAATACAAAGGACTTTTGAAATTCAAATGTTTAATTGACCGTCAATAACAATTTAAGAAAGCAGCTGTTTAATGAGTCTAATAGCTGATATTGGTCCAATATCATATATAGTATGATAATATAGTGGAAATCTAAAAAAACTTTAAAAAGTCACTACTTTGTATGAGCTTTAACCCTCTCAGGCTCAAATTAAGTTGTAGTAGCAGGAAAATCTGATATTTGTAGAAAATTATCATATGGGGTAATATTATACAATTCAGACTTTTTTTTGAGAGAGACCTTCACATGCATGAATTCTGGGATGTTGCAGATTTGCAACAGTGGCCCGGAGTGGTAAATTAGCACTGAAGACTGAATCTGATATGAACTTTAACTTTTTCTGAATGTCACAACCAAAAAATTAACAAAACAAAATTCGAAAAATAAAAAGTCTCTCACAAAATTAGACACAACTTTTTCTCAAACTTGTTCTCCACAGACATCTCAAAACCTCTTGAGAAGGCCGTTTCTGTTAAATTGTTGCTCAAAATATAAGCAAACTAGTAGATAAAGCATGTAGCATCCATTGGTACCTGTTTGGGCACACGTTGCGAATCCACAACACTGAAATCGAGATGCCTCTGGTGAAAAACCCAGAGGAGATAAAATCTACTAATTGGCATGTTTCATATCTATACACATTCATGATTCATCTTATGTAGTATTTATTTAAAAATAATGGAAATTGGTGGTAATAATTACATGAAATTGGTGCTTAGAAAATCTGTTTCAGTGAAACCAAGGACTTAGCCATGTTGAAAGTGAGTCAGCAGTGCTACCTGGTGAGCTGGATAGAAACTGTTTGTTGCAAATTCCCAACTAAATCCTTCTGTTGTACTTCTGAGTAACAAAAGCTCTTAAAATATGGATGTGGAGTAATTAGCTAAGCAACATTTAGCTGTTGCAAATCTGCAACATCTGCCTGGAAAGGCTTAATTATGGGTTTTAGCATCTAATGGCCAATTCAACAATACAGTTTTAGAAAATGACCAAAATAATACCGTACTTATCGTAGCTGAGAAATGTAGAAAAAATTGCATCAGGGTAACTATTGACTATTCATCATTGTAACTTTAAAGCATGCAGAGAAAATCCTGACTTTTCCCTTTTGATTACTTAAAAATGACCAAGGTTTGCCTTAGTTTATTGGGTTCTTTTGGAAATGTGATGCTCAAACCAATATCTCTTTGTTCTATGTTTAATTGTTTAATTCAGTTAAAAGAAAGTTGTTCTTTTTAACTCAATTAATAAGCGAGCGCATTGAACATCACTGATTTATTCTCCTGTCACTCATGCGAAGACAACATCTGGATACCAATGGTCAGGCTTCTTAAGATAATAATGATAACTAGATGTAATTAAATAATCTACCTGCCTCCCTTTAGTTAAATTCAATTAATTTGTATTAAACTAGAGCAAAATACTATGACAGGGCAGTTGTTAACTGGCACCTTTTAGATAAACATATTTAGAATAATTTTTCAAAACAAAGGCAAAGTTGTTTGTCTTCTTTGACCTTAGAAGAGTTATACATTTGATTGGATTTGGATTTGATATTGCTTTTAATTCAAACATGTATTAACGGTAGGATAGAAATAGCACCAGGAACTAATGCTGGATGTTCCTCTTAACCAAACTGACAGGAAATGACCTTTAGTTATATGTAGAGGAATTACTATAGTTCATTTTAACTTACTGCTCTTGTTTCGTACAAAACCATCCTCTGGATCCCACTGATGACAGCCGCAGTCTGAGGCATTTTTAGTCCTTTGGTCTCAAATAAAATCGAAGGACAGAAGAAGCAACACAAGAGCTGCAGAGTGAAAATAAACATATATATTCAAAACATCTGATAAACACCTACAAAATGCTCATAAAACTTCTAACTCGTTTATATTTCTCTTGACAATCTAATTAACAAACCTATCGGACTAGCATAACTCACCGATGAGTTAGCAAGCTAGCTGCAAAAAACAACAGTCGTTTAGGTGAATTATTCTCATTTCTTCTTGTGTTAAAAACTGTTTTCCGGGTTTCATCAATTTCCTTAAACGTTAATATCTATTGAAATCTGATAGGCCCCGAATACAGAGAAATGCTAAATAAACTCATTTTAGTCACGTGAACGTCATGAGCCGATATCAGCTGATACGGTGCGCCGCAGAGTCAAAAATCTCAAGCGGCGAAAACGCGAAAACTAAAGGTTTATTGCCTTTTTCTGTTGTTTTTACTAAATAAACTTTTTAAATTCAAAGGAAAATGTATAAAAATATAAACGGACCAATAGTATACGTTATTACTGAAGGGTTTGCAAAAAACGTGCCCTTTTATGATCTGGGTTTGGGTTTCTATGGTAACCGCCATACAGCAGCTTAGTTACCCCAAACAGTATTTTGTTTTCGTCTGTTATGGGACTTTGGACAATACTTGTTGCTTAAACAGGCTTAAATGGAGGCTTTTGTGGATAATCTAGATGAAGATGACGTTGGAAGAGAGCGTCTTCCTGCTAAACCCACCTGCTTCATTATATTTGGAAAACCAGTAAGTTCTCTATGATTATCATATAGTTTCTCCAATGATAATGTTTGTTTAAACCTAAATAACTCTAGAAATTGTCCATTGTAAAGAGTAGTTTCTAAATAATGAATTGCTAATCTAATTATGAGCTCTTCTTTTATATAGAAATGGGCATAAACAGTCAAAAGTAGAAAAATTAGTAATTCTAAGCATCGCCACCTCCTTCAACCCCATTCTCAATATCCCTTTTATAACAGGGTGTTGGAAAATCGACCTTGGCCAAAAAAATTGCAGAATCATGGAACTGTATTCTTGTTGATGGTAAGTTAATTTTGTCTTAATATTTATTTCATGCCAGTTGATAAATATCTACTTTTAAAATTGTTTCAGATACTTATCTGATCAACACACATATTAGAAACAAAACCAAGGAGGGAAGAGAGGTAAGAGACATTTGCTCTATAGTTAAAAAAATATATACATTTCATCTTAACATTAATATATTGTCTATGTGCATTTTTCAAACCATTTCAGCTGTTGAGCATCTTAACTGAAGGGGAAACTATTCAGGAGGATGTGGTTTTGCAGCTGATTCTTGATAAGATTAATTCCCCCAATGTTGAGCACTATGGTAAACTATGATCCACATTTGTGATTTAAGGTTAAGTTTACTTTAAGCACAGAATACTGTTTGTATATTTCAATTACAAAAAGCCTAAACAGTTTGTAACTAGAATTTATGAGATTGGCAGTTGGGGAGGTTATTTCTGGGTTGCGCCATTTTTTGATGAATTCTTTCTTATCTGCAGGCTATGTGCTGAGCTGCCTGCCATTTATATCAGAGGACTCCCTAAAGATCTGTCAACAGATTGAACTGATCCAAAACCTCAAGCTATCGCCCGATTTCATCATTAACATCAAGGTCAAAGTCCAAGAGTTGAAAGTTGTTTTTTAGTTGTGCAGCCATTTTATATTTTAATTGGTATTTTGCATGGTAATCAATGTTTCATTAAAATATAGTTTGAAAATGTACATTGTTTCAAATTGCTCCCTTGAGTTACTTATGTGTTTAAGAGCAAAACACTGATTCTTTTGATAGTGTGAAGACAAGGATCTAATCCAAAGGCTGTCAGGTCTCAGGCAGAATCCAGAAAGTGGGCAGCTATACAACAGGGATCAGTGGAAGCAAGAGGATGTATGTAGCAGGAATGAGATTATGGACGATGATGAGGGGCAGGTAATTATTGCACACAAACTTCCTAGTGCCTAACCTTCTGTTCTTATGTTTTTGCTGTTGTTTTTTCCGGATTTCAGACCAAAGGCCTGATTTAAATGAGACCTTTGTCTCTCTCTCTCAGTTTCTCTTTCTTGCTCACTCTCTCCTCTTAAGGCATATGGAGCTTTTAAAAGCAAAGTTACAGCTGTTAGCTGATTGACATGTTTGTCTGGAATACTTAATGTTTCAGGGCCAAGCTGAATTCTGTGAGAAATGAAGTGAATGCAATTATTTGATAAGTATAGTTTCCCCAGTATTTCGCAAAGGCAGTTGCAATTTGCATCAGCAGTGCACACATGCTAGATATGATCGCCAGGAGATAGAGAGAATAGAAAGGACCTTCTCTGTTAGCGTGAAAATCTTTGAAATTACAGAAGAAATTACCAGGAATTATCCCTGAGATGACTTGGAGCCTCATACAGAACAGATTGCCTAAAAGAAATAATTAATTTCTGAATACAATGCCACTCAGTCACTCACCTTATATTTTAAGAAAACCAGGATGCAAAGACAGCATTCTGACCAGCTGTCTCACTGTGTGGTGTGGAGGCTGCAGCGCCTCAGAATGGAACAACGTGAGAAGAGTGTTAAGAACAGCAGATCGGATGATTCGGGCTCCTCTTCTCTCCATTAAAGACATTTCATCCCAGCGCTGCGTGTCCCGAGCCCATCATATTATCAATCACCCCTCACACCCCCACCATAGGCTGTTCTCCCTGCTGCCCTCTTGGAGGAGGCATTGCAGCATTCGAAGCAGCAGATTCTGCAAAAGCTTTTTCCCCACTGCCATCAGACAGCTGAACTCTAAATCAAGTCTCAGACTCTGTATCTCTGCATGTATTTGATAACACCAAAATACTGCATATTTCCCCATATACATTTGTCTTGAAAGGTTCTGAACTTCCATATTGTTGCATTTTGCACCATGTTTTTTCTCCCACACTGTTAAAATTTGATCGTAGCTGCACTTTATGGAATGGAAACGCTCATTTCACTGCTAAGCTGCTGCTCATTCACTGTCTGAAAGCTGTACAAAACAAAATTTCATTTTCTATACATTCCGTGTATACAAAAGTTGTCTAAACTGTTCTTTTGTTTTGTCTCTTTGTAATGGATGGAGAACTCCTGATGGGGTTTTTTGTCTTATTGTACAGAACAGTTACATTCTATTGTATGGATAATTTATTAAAAAAAGGAAATATAAAACTGTTAACCCTCAAAAGTTTTCCAAAAACAGTTCAAGACATGCAAAAACAAATCTTTATTTTCTCTTATTGTACTTACCTTCTCCACAGAAATATTCTAGAAGCCTATGGGGTAAAATCTGATAAATTAAAATCTCACCAATTAATACGAATTGAAAATATCCTAATCTAGAGGTTGGTTCATCAACATAGGTCTAATAATAATAATTATCTAATAATAGTCTATATGTCGTATCGCAAGATTAGAGTTAGATAAGCTAAGCCAATTATATAAACTAAATGTGGGAACCTTGCCTTTTGAACCTTAAATTGAATGTATAATACATTGGTTTCCTTTATTCACTCAGGATGAGGAGGAAGACCTCTCTAAGGATACTATTGACCAGGATGTGTGGATACCAGAAAATCTGCCCAGAAATGCATTTACCAGAATTAACATGTATAAGGACTACCTGCTTAGACCACTGGAGGCAAGTTATAACATTTTATGATCACTTTTGTCCCCTTAGACTGCTGTTTTTGGGACTGCAATAGGCTACTTGCATTACATGTAGAGTTTTCATGCATTTTTTAGAATTTGCAACTTTGAATGCCAAACAGAAAAGGGGGGGGGGTTTTTTTTTTTTTTTTTTTTTAGCCTCCAAGTGCAAACCTGGCACAAAAAGGGATTTTTATCATTTTTCAGTCTGCCAAAGTTTTTTGTTTAGTTGTTACATCTGGGTCACTTTGAGACACAACTTAAAATGTTTAAGAATTGACACAAAAAATATAATTATGTCTAAAAATATATAAAAAAAAATTCTGACCTAAATGTTGATACATTTCTGACTTTTAAAAAAAAAAACTTACCAATTCTAGTTTCAGGTCGTAATGTCTTTTTTTATGAGAAAGCTCAGAAAGTAGTATTTTTTTTTTTAATCCCCAAATAGGAAAACTGGAACTATTTTGGACACTTAAGCCCAAAGATTTGTCCTTAAAGATGTAGTAGGAGATCTTTTCTGATGCATTTTTTACCATGTGACTTGAAGATCTCCCCACAGCCGCTTAGCAAGCAGTGAAATAGAAGGTCTAGAAGTGAAACGAAAAAAATGGTCCGCACTATAGTGTAAAATCAATGAGTAACACCCACCAATCACAAAACACGGTCCGTGGTCCACTATTGGTTCCTGAGACGTCAATCAGGGTCGTCTGCTTCTCCCTCCCTCCTGCGCGCATACCATGACATATGAACGAGAAATGTAGACAGAGACAAGGATGCCATGGCTGCAAGCTAGCCACGGTTATGTTGTTAACTTGTGTCACGAACACTCGGTCTCGACTTGTTTCGATGTCAATCTCAGAAACATCCGAACACCTCGACAGACAGCATGCGTGTTCATGTGTTTTGAAGGCGTGGTTTCGAGGGGTGGTCTGAAAGGAGAGGCATGGTTGTGTATTTTCAAAAATAAAGCTTTCTGGAACCGTTTTTCCAAAGATCTCCTACGGCACCTTTAAGTCTACTCCTTGTCTTAGCCACTGTAGTCGGACTCTATCTGTTTGTTAAATGTACATGTTATAGAAAAAACAAACAACAACAAAACAAAGAGTAGCCTACTCTATTGTATTTATAAGTCATATTAAAGACTGGATAAAATGCATCTTAACCGATTGCAATAAATCACAAAATACATAACCTAGGATCATTTGTTGTGAGTTACTCCAATAACACAAGTTATGAAAAAACAAAATGAAAAACTGGACATTTAAAGAAACCGCGGAGGGTCTTAAAAATACTTCTTTGACCAAATATGTTTGTTATTACTTGACATTTTTCCAGGACTATATTTCAGAGCACAACCCCCTCTACATCTTGCAGCTGGATGGAAACAGTACAATTGAAGAACTACACATGGTAAAGACAGAAATGCAGAATTTTACCATCTGGTGTCTTTAATATACTGACTGTGTTTTATTTCTACTTTTGTCTTGCAGTCTGTGATGGCCCGTCTTGAAACCATGGCTATAAAGCGTGTCTCTGTTCCAGTCCTCCTCAGCCATTATGCTAAACAACTACCAGACATTGTTGACACAGTATGGTCATCCTCATGCTTTACTTTTGTATTATTTTATTGTAGCTGTAAAACGACTTGAGTGGAGATGCTACTTCTCTGCTGAAACTGCTACGAATTTCACTTGAATCTATCTTATTTGGTGTTTATCTATTTGACAGGAATACCTTCTAAAATATATGTCCTCCATCAGAACTGTGGCACCTGGTTTTCCGTGGAAAAGAAGCCGCTGGGGCAGAGCTTGTCCTGTTGCCCTAAAGGAGGGCAATATTTATGAAGGAAAGCATGAATTTTCTGTTGGGTGAGTGCTATCAAATGAATTAATACATGTTCTGTTTTCCAGTTGTGACTGAATAAAATGGTTTTACCTCTCAAACATTGCACAGCTTTCAGGACAAGCTGTACATACTCTCATCTGAGGAGGCCTACTGCAAGTTTGTAGAAAATCCATTTAGGTACCTCATTCCTCCAATGCCTAGGCCTCCTTGCAAGGTCTCAATCATTGGCCCTCCTCTGGCTGGAAAAAGCACCATATGCAGTCTTTTGGCCCAGCATTATGGTGCAGTGGTGCTCAATATAGAAGAGCTGTCACAGCCACTTTTAGCCAAGGCTGAAGAGGAAAGGATTGAGAAAATCAAGGAGGAGACCAAACAAACTGCTATAGAAAAAATCAACATGAAAATGGAGATGGATGGTGAAAAACATTTAGGCAAGTAGTGTTCTTCTATCTTTTCTTATTTTCACATATATGTTTATTGCAAAAACAATCTGTTCCTTTGGAAAGCAAATATCACACCACTGGTTTAATAGTAGGTTTAGTTATATATGTAATATTTTGCTTTTCTTAGTGACAGAGGATCATCCCGAAGTAAAGACCTTGGTGCTTCATGCAGTTGAGGAAGCCAAAAAAATTGCCCCATTTCCCTTTCAAATATATGCTGATGTGTTGCAGAAGCACCTTCAAGAGGTTAGTTTTAGGTTTTGTATTTACAGTGAGTTATTTTGTTTTTCTTTCAATATTGTTCCATTCTTATTTATCCACCATGCATCCAATATCAAGATCATTTAAAGATATAGGCTTTTTATTGTAGAAATAAATGTATTTTAGAACGTTCTTTAACTGACCAATACATATAAAATGTCAACACATGCATAAATCTCAGTGTTAAGCTAATACAGTTGATGTCGCAGATTGAGGAAATGGACTCAACTGCTGAGGCCAGAACTGGTTGGGTACTTGACAACTTTCCAAAGAGCCATAGTGAAATGGCTGTCTTAGAGAAAGCTGCAATCCTGCCAGATTTGATCATCTGTCTCGTAGACAGCAGCGGGCATCAGGGTAAGTGCATGATTCTTGTTTTTGTTATGCCAACCTTCTATTTTATGACATGTCTTTCATTCTTCCACTTCATTATATATTGTACAATGCAGTATTAAAGAGAGTTTATGAGAAGAAGGAAAAAGTGAATGAAGCCATCAAGCAGGGGTTAAAGGATGAACTGTCTCAGAAAAACGAAAATGGATCGTAAGTTCGGATGCAGTGACTTTTCTACAGTTAAAAATATTTGAAAAGGTTGATGCACATTTCTGATTTTGTGATAACCTCTTCTCGCCTAAGAAATGAAAAGGAGTCAGACCGAGAGACTGTTGTTGAGGGGACAGATGGTAACATGTTTCCATACTCTTCAAAACTTGTGAATTTCCTTACTGTCCTGTTTTCAAATATTATCTTCAAAAAAATCTTACTTTTCTTTGCAAGTACAGTATACCCTTAGAGAAATCAATCTGTAAAAATATTTTCAAACTGCTGTTTGTTAAACAAATAGATTCAACTCTATAAAAAAAATGACTGATGATAAACATGGCAACCTAAAACCTTTCCTCTTTTTATTCTGCTTGCAGAATCTCCAGCACTCTGGGAGGATTCTTACTTTGGCTCTTCCAACATCACAGAGAGGAAAGAGTATAAAGAGCAAATGCAACTATTTGAGAGGGAATGGGCCCAAATGCAGTCCAGTTTAACTGTCAACCACTTCAACCTTGAGGTGGGGAGCAAGAGCCCTGAGGATTTGCTTCAAGAAATAATCCAAAAGATGGAAAGTAAGCATAAAAAGCAGTTTTCATTCAGCATTAAACAGTGAGATTTTGCGGTAAAATCTTGAATTACAATGCAATAAAAAAAACGATTTGCCTCTTTACAGATATGCCCTTCTTTAATAGTTCAGGTTATAAAATATGATGATTATCTTACTCTGATATTAACATTTGTTTGATCATCTATAACTTTAAGGTGACACGAAATGCAAAAATGGTGTAAATGTGTAAGGAAAACAAATACTTTTCACAGCACTGTCTATGCATATTCTTTAGAGCCATTTCAGTATGTCGCTAGGCAGATTTCTATGCATGACCCGTATGAGGCAAAAGGAGATACTGAGGCCTTAGTGGCACTCGAAACAGCCGAGAAAGACAGCAGTGACAATGAGACAGAAAGTGAGGAAGATGAGGTTAGTATGCTGACAAATGATTCTGATTTAGAATAAAAATTACAAAATCATCCACATCTTAAAAGTTTAGGATTTATTTTTATTGACAGATGATTTTTTTTTATGCTGTAAATGTCTTTGTTCAACCACTAATTACAGTCGGAGTCAAGAATCAAGAGGTCGTTAGGTGATACCAAGCATTTCTGCCCTGTTGCCTTAAAAAACAACAATGTCCTATGGCCGTCTAAGGATAAAATATCAGCCAAGTACCGTGAACGGATTTATTACTTCTCCACCGTAGAGGCCAGAGAGTCCTTCCTACAAAACCCTGCACAGTTTGTTGCACGAAAAGAGCCCCTTCAGGTAAAAGCTAATGGAGAATTGAAACTGTGTATTTATTAGATGAAGATACAGTCCCTCACATATTTCTCTTTTTCCTCCAACATAAGCCTCCTGCCTTGCGAATCTTTTTGCTTGGCACTAGGGGGTCAGGCAAGTCAACTCATGGTGAATGGCTTGCACAGAAACTTGGGCTCCTTCACATACAGTTCAGGGAGAAACTCCAAATGCAGATCATAGCCAAGACAGGTGCACCGGTTCCCCGTGAAGATGAGGTTTTGTGGCTCAACCATGATTTGGAGCATCTGGAGACTCTAATAAAGGATGAGACGGTTGGAGAAAGGGACGTGGAACTTAACTCTGGCAACATAAACAAAATTGAGGTTTTCTTAATTTTTTTCTTTGCC